TGTTGGGTTATGCCACAATCACAGGATATTTTCGCGGGTTGACAGATGGTCAACGAGACCCCCGATTTTAGGGGCGTCACAGCTTCTGCCTCCCTCTCTCCCTCTCTCTCTCTCTCTGAACTCTGCATTTTTGTCTCTTTGGTTCGTCTCCCTCTACAGCTCTACCTTTTCATCTCTCTGCATCTCTCTATGTGAAAATAATGAAACTATCTTGTTCAATGAAGCCCCAAATCTATCGCTTCGATCCAACCATTGTAAGGTTGGATTTTGTAGATATGTGATCAAATATACTTGTATTCATGCGCAAATACACTTATAGGTATAAAACCTTATAGATCTATGTATTTTGTGTGTGTGTGTGTGTGTGTATATTTGTATATGAATCTGTAATAGAACACAAAATCAGCATTTATATACAAATCTATGTATACACAAAGCCCTCTTATATATTAGGTTCTTTGAATCCTAAAGCATTAAAAAAAAAAATCTTACGGTTTAAAAAATTATTCCCAAATTTAACTTAAATTTGACTCCAAAATCAGTCTGAATTAAACCCGAATTAACTAACTTGAATTCAACCCGAGTCTGTCGGAATTCAACTTGGACAATATTTGGGTTGAATACCTCGAGTTTAGGTGTGATTTCAGTTAAGGCTAGGGTAGATCTCTCAACTCGCCTAAGTTGCACCCCTCACCACATAGGTAAAGGTGATGGGTGGGGGTCGAGAAATTGGACCAAGATCTAATTGAGTCTCATGTGATATATTACATGAAAGTGTGTCGGGTAGCAAGAACGGATAGATCCTCTCTCAGATGCAAGACCCGGTTATGTCGGTGACACATTAGCTGGTGGTGTAACGAGTTCATAAAAATGTGTCGTTATACGTGAAATCGGAAGTGGGATGCCCTCAAAATTTGGTGGAAGTGCAATAATTATCTACTCCAATAAAGACACCAAAATTAATAAATAGTCATTGGAGATGTATGACAATTGGAGGTGTATAACCCAATAGTCATGGCACTGTATATTGTCTCGTACATGAGAACTCGGTAGTGGATTTGTGGTTGGACATGTGTTCATAATACTTCATTCATAGTTGTCATGTTAAGTGTCATTTAAATGTTTTCCTTATTCTCAAACCTTTTGTATCAAGAATTGATCATTGTTTCGTGCGGTATTTTTTTATTTAATGCTGGATTGCATAAAAGTGGTCAACTTAAAGCGAATGACTAGTATTCCCAAAGTATATATTATGAGCTTGGATTTATAAATCAACCTCTCTAACTGGTAAAAAAGTTGTCTATCATGTTGTCACCCGTGCAAGCATAGCAACATATTCCCTTCGCAAAGAAGAATGATTGAAAAATGAGCAGTGTGAGTTGAGAATCTTCATATTTTTAATAGTTCAATCTTGTTGGGCTAATCCACGAGGTTTTTTAATCAATTACCCATTTTGTTCCCCGACAATAGGTTTTTTTTTTTAATCCATAATATAGTACTTTACTCTGATTTGTTATTTGATATTCAAATTCAAAAATGACATATATAGTTTTTTCCAGTCTCTAGAAAAAATGTTAAAAAATAGTTTTTAAAAATCTCTTATGTAGTTGAGGTGCACGCACTTGTCCCAAACACACGCCTGAGGAACTTTTCATGAGGTTTGCTCTCAAAATGGTTGTTAAACCCAAAAAATCTCGAGGTTATTTCACTTACATTCACACCTAGATAGCCCAAACATAATTGTTGAGCACAATAGTCACATGTTATTATTTATATGAGTTAACCGTCAAAATAATCACATCATGCTTCAAGAAAAATTTAAATTCATATATTACATAACAATACCTAATTCTTCTATGGGTAACAAGCTTAACATAATACAAAACACATCAATAAGAAGCAATAATTAATTAGGCAAACTATCCCAAATTGCATGATATTTGAATTACTATGATAAACTTGATAAACTAACAGGTTATGTAAATAAGAAATTTGCATTCTTGCCCACCATACTTCATCTGCTATTTTTCGTTTCTACAAAAAAGAGGGGTTAATTGTAAATTGCACCACAAAAGATTGTTCGAATATTAATTTGTACCCCAAAGATCACAAATTTTAATTTGTACTCTCAAAGATAGAAATTTGTATCAATGTGCAACCCCAAAGATTAAAAATCTTAATTGTACCCTCAAAATAAAAATTTGTATCAATATGCAATTAAAACTAACCACCGGCAGTTTGCTGCCTAAAATTAAATTGATAAATTTTACTTACATCCCCTCATACTTATCACTTAATCATTTGAACCACTTCACATTTAAAATATTACGCCTACATCTCATAACGTTTGTACACATGTAACACGTAATCCTTTTTCGTTGATATCTGTTAATATAACAGTTAAAAAATATGATTTTATCTTAATAAAAAATTATAATTTTATATTACCCTTTATTTTGTGGGTCTGATATTTTCTAAAGTTCAAAATCAAGCTTATCATGTTAATGTCCAATAGAATGTAGATATTTATATAATATTTTTTATATGCAATGCAATATATTACTTACAAATAATTATTTAAATGCCCAATTGGGGGACATTTTAGATTGAGAGTATTTTTATTAGGATTTTATAACCGTTAAAAATATGATTTTATCCTAATAAAAAATTACAATTTCATATTACCCTTTATTTTTTGAAGGGGTTCAAATGATTAAGTGACAAGCATGAGGAGATCTAGATATAATTTATTAATTTAGTTTTAGACAACAAACTGACGGTAGTTAATTTTAGGTGCGCATTGATACAAATTTTTATTTTTGAGAGTGTAAATTAAAATTTTTAATCTTTAAAAATTTTAATTAAAATTTAAACGATCTTTCGATATATAATTTATAATTAACCCTAAAAAGAGTGAAAATATCTTTTCTATCATACTACGCCGTGAATAATATAGGAGTCAAATGAATGATACATCTAAGAGAGACGGGTGGGAGCGAACCGCCCAATAGATATTACAAATCAATCTTATTATATTAATATTGACTCTAAATACATAATAAAAAAAACATATATAGACCCGCATCCATAAATTTATTCAACTATGTAAAGAGCCGACCCACGTTTATATCCTCATCCCCCTTCGTCAGATATGCATTTTTCAACAAAGGTTTTCCCTTGTTAAACTATATCTATTCATCAACTGTGTTCTGATTAATATACAAAGCTTATAATCTAACATAATTTAATGACTTTGACTAAAAATATTTTAAGTCCAAAAAACAATTAGTCACCTGATAAGAGCCGTTTGTACGGTGGATAATGCTCGACAACAAAAGTTTAGTATTTTCACATAAATAAACCTATGGAGCAATCATAGTAAGGTAATTAGGGAAGTCAATCGTATCGTGTCGTGTCACTTTTAATTGTGTTATTTTAGTGTCGGATCATTTTTGGTACGTGTCGAGTTTGTGTCAATAAAAAATTATTTAATTCCACAACAACTCATATAATATTATTTAAGAAATAAAAAAAATTAAAATTTTTTATTTTCTGTCTACAATACTCGTTAAATATTTATTTTCAATCTATAATACTCGTTAATTATGTTATTAGTGTCGAACTTTAATTTGACTTATTTATTACTTGTGTCAACTAATTATATATTTTTAAATTTTATGTAAGATCAAATTTGTGTTGAATTTATATCAATGAGTAAAATTGACACCCCTAAACATAACTCCCTTGCCGAGGAGAAGCATTAAAAATGCATCATTGAGAGTTGTGAACCTTCATATTTTAATAGTTCTATCTTGTTGGGCTAACAAAATTTAGGATAAAATATGCTAGTCTCTTAAATATTTGTTTAATGTTTATGTGGTCTCTAATATTTTAATTGTTTCTATTTGATCCTTAAGATTTTTAATTTGTATCAAAGTGATCCAATTCCAAATATCCATCAAAACATCGTGGCGATTCTGGTCACGCGCCAAAGGCATTAACAATTTTTTAATGGACGCTTGTGATTGGACAACATAGATACAATTGAAAGATTGTGGACCAACATAGACATTACATGCATACTTTAGAGGCTAAAAGTGTATTTTTTTACTAAAATTTATTCCCACAATATTTTAATCAAGGGCCAATTATATTCCCAAAAGCACGTTTTTCCCTTAATACAACACTTTAATGTGCTTCTTTATTTCTTAATCAAACTTAGACAACCACCTATATAATTTTCTTGCAGCGTGCGCTGGAAAATGATCTCAAGAATATCTTTCATTTAGGCATCCAAATCTTCCGTATTTGAGAGTCAATTTTTCTAAGAATATAGTCAAATTATGATCTAAAGGTAGACATTTATACCAATTGTCTGAAAAGTTTTACAACAGCCCTTACCACATGAAGCAAGAAGATTGAATTGTAAGCGTTACAAGCCCATCTAATAAGGTGTAACATGAAAATTTAGTAAGTCAAGTATGTAATAACTGATACTATTATTGCTAATGAACTGAGCTGTGTATGAATAAATCAAAATTGAGTCGTATTGAAACTCTTTTTAATTCGTTAATTCATAAGACAAATCAAATTCAAGCTTAATTATGCAATTTACTTTATATATGAGACAAGTTCAAACAAATCTTGATTATTTCAGCAGGTTCTGAATACATTAAAATTGTATATAAATTAATATTATACACAGAATTACTTAATATTGTACAAAATCGATTGTAATACTCAGTTTAAACCGAGATTCGATTTTATATATGAATAATAGTTTGACTTAATTATTTTAATGAGACACGTTGAAACCACGTTCAACCTGGAACTTTTTGCTTGGTTGAAAGAGTCCGAACTTTAAAAAAATTAATAGATTGAGGTTAAACAAGGCATGTAGAAATTTTCACCATTTTGAACTGAGTTTAATTGTTATTCTTTTTTTTTTTTGCTATTAGAGTTTGATTGTTATTCGGGAAGGAATACATCTATCCCAAATAACGTGTGGTTGATTCCGTTCGATCGTTTGGCGGTGCGGTGGTACTTACTGTTATAAAAAATTGCGCTCGTAAGTTTCAGACCACATATACACTGGCGTATGTCCTTGGATACGAGAGCCAACTTCTTTGTTTTCTTCTCCATAGATAAAAGCCCAACAAAACCCCATTGTAATGGATTTTGATCGATCTCTAACTTCGAATTCTCCATATCACAGCTCAACCCGTCGGAATTTGATCAGATTCCGACCTTTATCATTAACTTTCCTACCAGTTTGTCAGTTTCCGGTCTAGTTAATCCTCAGTTCTACGACCATATTCACCGGAAAAACAAGGTCTCTCGCATGAGTTTGTGTTTTAAATTCTGGTTTTTTTCTGTTTAATATTGTGGGATTGTGGTGATCCGTTCAAAATTGACCTCTGTTTGACTGCTGGGAAAATGGAAGAAAGTAGAGAGAAACAACTAGAAATTTTAGGTCTTACATGTAGTTGTATTAAGGACCTGCTGGTTGGAAATAAAATAATGATGTTTGAAGATTCAAGTGTTCCTTGTTTTTTCTTTTCTATTTTCTGAGCATCCAAACAGAATTATAAACAGGTACTGTTGGAATTCCATGTAAGAATGAATATTCTCTGCTTTTTATGAACTGTAAAGCTTCTTTAATTTCTTCCAGATGCATCCGCTTTGTTATTTTGGTTTTAAAAATTTTAAGATACTTCACTTTCTGAGTCAGATCACATTCTTTTTCTCGGCTACATACGTCTAATTTCGATTTAGTCTTCGTGCCTAGTCATTCTATCTCTGTATATGTGTCAGGTCTTGTGTCGATCCTAAAAACTAGAAAAACTGTCTTATACTGGTGGGGATTGAATTGCAGAGGAGGTGTGTTATGGATCATTTATCGTCCATGCTCAATGGGCTAGCGAGGTCTCTTTCGATTAAGAAGGGGAGAAATTCTGGCAATTGTGGTGGAAGAGAGGCCGTGGAAATGATGGCGAAGGAAGCCAAGAAGAATGACCTGATATTGAGGTCTTCAGGCACTGTTAATGTCGATGGGTCGAAGAATTTTGCATCAGTTTTCTCCAAGAGAGGGCAGAAAGGTATCAACCAAGACTGCTTCATTGTGTGGGAGGTATGCTTAATTACAACAATTGGCAGATATGTGAGCTCATTTCTAATTAAGTCAAAAAAATGGGTATTATTTGATTTCGAGTTTACATTTTCTCAATGATTGGTGTGGCATTTTTTTGGGTTCTCAGTTGATAGATTGTGTAATTTTTTTGTTTGGGTGGTAGGAATTTGGATGTCAAGAAGATATGATGTTCTGTGGGATATTTGATGGGCATGGACCGTGGGGGCATTTTGTGGCAAAGACAGTTAGAGAATCGATGCCTTCGTCTCTGCTATGCAATTGGCAGGAGACACTTGCTGAGGCTTCACTTGATCCGGATTTCGACTTAGAATCAGATAAGAAGCTTCATAGGTTTAATATATGGAAGCATTCCTACTTGAAGACTTGTGCTGCTGTTGATCAGGAGCTAGAGCGGCACCGCAAAATTGATTCCTTCTACAGTGGAACCACTGCTCTGACCATTGTTAGGCAGGTAGTTGAAGGCCCTTGTTCAAAAGCAATTTGCTTTATGAATATGTTAATTCTTTAAATATGAATCTACTTTTCACATTAGAATATGAATATTTAAATTGGTAACCTCTTTTAGTTGTTTATGTTTTACTTAGACAAATCTCATTAAGTCTTCTTCCCGCCTATAAAATTACAAAAAGTTTTAACTACTAGAATGTCTGGTAAAATTAGATTTTTGAATAATTACGTGATAAAATGTCACCCAAAAGTAATTAAAACTAAAATAGCTGTTTAGCACTCAGAAGATGTTAGCAACCATTTTATGTGGGCTGTGTACAATTTATCTTGGACCTAAATACTTTGCAATATGTCTGTTAAGAGTAAAGAAACCTCTGCTAGAGAAATACAACACTCAAAAGGAAATGAAAAATAATACAATTTTCATGGAAGTTAAATTTACCATACAGAGTAATCATACTATCAAATTATCAGGGAAAACACCAAACTTGATTTCTCTGAAGAGTGGGTTGATTATAGTCCATATGACAGCTGGGAGAACTGAATAATTAACTACAAAACAAGTTACTTGTTTGCCTTGCTCAGGCTCATTAAGAAACTATCGTGATTGGTCATTTCAAACTAGGCGAACGAAATCAAGTGAAATCATTGTAAAACATGTTTTTAATTCATGATGCAGCAGAAGAAATATCAATCAACTTGAGGTTTTTACATTTTACTTCAATATGTAGTAGGGAAAAATCATATTTTGCCTATTAGATAATTTTAAGTGTTACAAAGGGACAATACAGTACTCCCACTGACTTCCGTAGACCATTTTCCTTATTTAGTCAACTGTCATCAACAACCCAATAGCCATAATGGTACTGCTTATAGTGTCTATTACATGATCACTTTACCATTGAAAGAGTGGGTATCTTGTTTTATAGGTGGTCCTCACAAAGTCACTAATAGATGGAAATATTTTCTGGGTGGTAGTTTTATGGTTTTAGCTCTTGAGAATAAGGGGCTCTTCTTTAGAGAGAATATCTTCCTTTTTCTGGGTAAACAAGGTGCCTTCATCATCTATTGAACTTTTATCCACTCTTTTTCCCACTTGCATCAGAGGATCTATTTCTAATTAAGGATAATGACTTTTATTTCTTGTGCATATGGTAAAGAAGGGTCTCTAATTAATAAATTTTTATTTTTTGGAGGTGTAATTCGATTTAAATAAATTTAGAAAGTAATTTATATATTGAACTTAATAGGTTTAAGTATTCATAAGTTTTTATTAAGCTGTCCCAAGTAGGTACCTCTTCTTCTATATTCATAAGCTACTGTTAATATATTTGGCAGCTTGATTAGTAGGTTATGTGGGGGATTAGTAGCATAGAATTGGCCTTGAAAGTCATAATATATGACTTGCAAACTTTCTGTATACTCAGCTAGCAAGTAGTGTAATACAATACAAGGTAATTGGTCTTATCTTCATTAGTTCCTTTGTTCTTGAGTTGTTCTTTGCCACAAAAAATGCACCTCAGTCAATCCTACCTTGGCTCCAAATATGGGCATTCTTAAAATGGAGTTCTTAATGCAAATAACTTGATGGAACTTAGAAATGTTGGAATGAGTTGTATTGTTTCCCTCTCTTTTCGTTTTTCCTTTTCGTGCCGTGTGAATCTTGATTTCTTTTATTGAGCGTCTTTACTAGTTTTATGCACACACAAGTTCATCAGACATAGCATGATTTGCTTATTCTTCCGAGTCTTTATGATTTGCCAGGGTGAACTTATCTTTATTGCAAATGTTGGTGATTCCCGTGCTGTATTGGCTACCACTTCTGACGATGGCAGCTTGTTACCAGTTCAGCTTACTGTCGATTTCAGGCCCAACATACCCCGTTAGTCCCTCTCTCTCTCTCTCTCTCTCTCTCCCTCTCCCCACTTGCAAAAAATGAAAACACTGATGATCACTGTAAACATGCCAATAACTGTTCACAGAGGAAGCTGAGCGGATAATCCAGTGCAATGGACGAGTGTTCTGCTTGCATGATGAGCCTGGGGTACACAGGGTCTGGCTGCCGAATGAAGAATCACCTGGGCTGGCAATGTCTAGAGCCTTTGGAGACTACTGTGTGAAGGACTTCGGACTAACTTCTGTCCCTGAAGTGACACAAAGACACATAACAGGGAAAGACCAATTCATTGTGCTGGCAACAGATGGGGTATGTATTGCACTTTCAAATTACCATCTCGTTGGAAAAGGAGGAAATGTCTATAGATGCTTTAACTGTGAAAATCAGTCACAGAAATCAGTCTGAAGTCGCAAGCATACTTTTTTGTTGCCATAAACTGACCCGTTATCTATGCCAAGAACTCATGATGCGAATAGAACCCTAGTGCACATCACTAAACTCACAAACGCACTTTGACTATTTTCAAATATAACTATTGGCTGTTGTTTTCATTAACCTGCCAAAAAAACTGAAAAGTGACGGACAACTTGGGATGTTGGTTATGTTAATTCTATCTTCTTTTGTCTAAATCTTGAGCATTAGGCACCTACAAAATTCAGTCAATTTTCGGTGTCTCCAGGCCTTTTGACATGAATATTTTGGCTGTCTTGGCAAACTTTAGGATCAAAATTAATACTGCAAGTGTTTATTCCTGTTCAGGTATGGGATGTTGTTTCCAATCAAGAAGCAGTGGAAATTGTGATATCAACACCTGACAAAGAAAAGTCGGCTAAACGTCTGGTTGAATGTGCTGTTCGAGCGTGGAAACGCAAGAGGAGGGGTGTTGCCATCGATGATATTTCAGCTATTTGTCTCTTCTTTCACACTTCTCCTTCATCACTTCAAATTTTCCCTGTTACTACCCCTAAATAATAAATAAGAAACAGCAGTGTTAATTGCTTCTCTCTATCCTCTCTCTCTCTCTCTCTCTCTCTCACACACACACACACACACACACACATAATTTTTAGCCTATAAAAGTGTCTTTCAAAGTTTTTGAAAATGACAAAGGGACAGGTCTATATAGTTTGGGAAAAAGTAATACTAACCTAAGTTAGCATAATAATGTGTAAAGTGGTAGAATCTCAATTAAGAAGTTCAATATTTTAGTGAGAATAACGCTATTGATTCATATCATTACTACATCATTGAATCAATAAATTAGATCAACTTTTTAGGTATCGATAGTATTACACTTCAGAAAAAAATTATAATCGATTTAAAAAGAAATTTTTTTAACTTTTTATTTAGCGAGAATTGTTAAAAACTACAAATTTCATACTTAATTTGTTAATTAGTTCAACCATATATATTTTTTGAGTAATATATATTTTTTGAGTAATACTAGATGAACTTAAAAATTAAATTTGATAATCTCAATTATTAAATAGGTAGTGGATCCTACAGTTGGATCTTGACGGATCAAAGAGAGAAGGTAGGAGAACCCTTTGGTTTCTCTTTTTTTTTTTTCTCTCTCTCTCTCTTTTATGGAAAATGCAACGCACAATGGGGGGAAAATATGATTTTTACTCTTTTTAGACCCTCTAATGCATGGCTTAAAATGCGGCACACATCCCAATATTTTTTGATTTAATTTTATTTCAAATCAATTAAATCTCGTTTTATTTTAAGTTCAGTATATTTTTATTGAACTGAATTTAAATTATTTCCCGGGTTTTGCATTTAATTCTTGATCGCGTTTATTTTAGTCGCGCGATGTTCGATCGCCTCGTTAAACGCAAAAATTCTGATTGTATTAGAATTCAACAAAAATTGGCCAGATAATTAAATTTCAAGAGACGAATCCAACGGATAGGTTTATTTCGTCATCTAAGTTGCAGAAAAATTTGAGTTTTCAACTCGTATCGTAACGGCTAATTACCATTTTGTCTCTTTTCATAAAATTTTAATTTTTCGAGTTTTACATTTTTCTCCCCTTAAAAGAATTTCATCCCCGAAATTTCACACGTGTGCAAATATAAGAAAATGCATATGCTACAAATCCTATAACACTCTACGATTAAAGAATGTACCTCCATCCTCAAATAAGAATGGGTAGGTAGTACGGATAGTGTCCTCACGCTCTCATGCTCCTCCTCCACACCACTGTACTGCCACAGCCCTTTCACCAGTCTCACAGTCTTGCCACGCAAAATCTACTCTCGACTATCCATGATACGTAGTGGTCTCTTCTCGAAGGTCCCATCCACATCAACAACCAGCTCACCCTAATCCACCGCATGTGTAGGATCTGGAGTGTACATTCGGAGCATAGAGATATGGAATACTGCGTGAATACTCGATATATTTGGCGGTAATGTCAACCGAAAAACAATTGTGTCAACCCTCTCAAGCAACTCAAATGGCCCAATATACCTCGATGATAGCTTTCCCTACTTTCTAAACTTGACCATTCTCCTCTTAGGCATAACCTTCAAAAAGACATAATCTCCAACCTCAAACTCCAAAGGTCTCCACTGCTTATCAGCGTAGCTTTTTCTGTTGGATCTGAGCCGATGGTCCTCCTCGATTGACCGTCCGTTTGGGGATTAAAAGTTATGCTCATCATCAACTATGTCCCTAGAGCCCGCTAGAAGCTCTATCAGAAGTGAGTCGTGAACATGGGATCCCGATTCTATACAAAAGATACGGGTACTCCCATGCAACCGAACTATCTCCTACATATACAACTTGTAGAATTCCTCCAGTATGAAGGTCATCCACACAACAAGAAAGTACGCCGCTTGCATAAGTTAGTCCACTATCATCCATACCGTGTCATGCCCACGCGAAGTCCATGGTAAGTGGGTCACAAAATTAATAGTGACATGTTCCCACTCCCATTCAATCACCTCTAAAGGCTGAGATAATTCTGCTGGTCTCTGGTACTCATCTTTGACCTGGTGGCGAAGATCATGGTACATCTTCGTTCCACTGGGATACACTGCAAAATGGGAGCAATAAAACTCCTTGAGCATCTCTTCTCTCAAATCAGTAGACTAAGGAACCACAATCCTTCCCCTGAATTGAAAACTACCATTAGTGTGAATGGCCCAGCTCTCATTTTTACCCGACTATGTCTGGTCCCTAATGGACAATCCATGTCTTGTCCCTAGGACTCGATCACTCTACTTAGTAAGGAAGGGGTAGCTACCAGACTTCCTAAAATGTTTTGAGCTTGATCATTTTAGTATAGCCCGAACTGTCCCACATTCTCGAGTATCTGCCACTCCCGGGAAACTATATTAGCCAAGACTCCCATTGACTTTCGACTGAGTGCATTAGCCACCACATTTGCCTTACTAGGATGGTAATGCAAGGTGAATTCATAGTCCTCCAGGTATCTCCATCCACCTACATTGCCTCATATTGAGGTTCTGCTGTGTGAAGATGTACTTGAAACTCTTGTGGTCTAAAAATACCTCAAACTAATTTCCATATAGATAGTGGCACAATGCCTTCAAGGCAAAACAATGACCGCCAACTCCATGTCGTGTGTGGGATAATTCTGCTCATAGCTCTTTAGCTACTATGAACCATAAGCTACCATCCTCCTGAACTACATCGATACATATCCTAGTCTGTCCTTTGAGGCATCACAATAGACTGTATACCTCTGCCCCTTCTATTGAACGATAAGGATAGAAGTTGAAGTAAGCATCCTCTTCAACTCCTGCAATGCTCTCTCACATAAGTCATCCAACAGGAATTTGAGCTTTTCTCTGGTCAACCTAGTCATAGGTGCAGCTAGCCGTGAGAAGTCCTCAATGAACCTTCGATAATACTCTGTCAATCCCAAGAAATTGCGTATCTCAAAGATTAACTTAGACCTCTCCCAACTCAACACTACTTCAACCTTCTCTAAGCCAACTGACACACTCGTAATGGACACAACGTGGCCCAAAAATTTTACCTCCATCAACCAAAATTCACATTTATTGAACTTGATGTATAACTGATGGTCCCTCAAAATCTGGAGAGCGATCCTTAAGTGACCCTCATTCTCTTCCTCAGATTTGGAATAGATGAGAATGTCATCAACAAAGATTACGGTAAACTGATCTAAATAGGGTTGGAACACTCTATGAATAAGGTCCATGAATGCCGATGGGGCATTTGTTAAATCAAAAGGCATAGCGAAAAACTCAAAATGCCCGTATTGCATCCTAAACGTCGTCATAGGGATATCGACCTCCCTAATCCTCAACTGATAATATCTCGTGCACAGATCTATTTTGGAGTAGATCTATGCTCCTTTTAGTTGATTAAATAAGTCATCTATGCACGACAATGGGTACTTGTTCTTGATGGTGACCCAATTCAATGGCCGATAGTTGATACATCGCCTAAGGATCTTGTCCTTCTTCTTGGAAAATAATACAAGAACACCCCCCCCCAAGGTGAGGTATTTGGTTTAATGAAACCCTTTTCTAATAATTCTTGCAACTGGGCTGTGAATTTTTGCAACTTTGTAAGTGCCATCCTATGTGACGTTATAGAAATAGGAGATACACCAGGTTGTAACTTAATGGTAAAGTTTATATCCTGATGTGGAGGTAATCCCGATAGCTCATCTGAAAAAATATCTGAATACTCGTAAAGTACCTGAGGTAGACCTAACTCCTGTCTCACCTCGTCCTCAAGTGTAAGGTCCGCAAGCAACTGTTCATGCCAACAAGAGTCATATAAGGCTTGAGGGTAAAATATTGTGCTTTTCTCCCTAAAACTTGAAACAAACACCCTCTGATGTATAGGCAGTGCCCCTTTTCTGATCACAATCGATGATGACTCAGTGTGTCGCCAACCAATCCATTACAAGGATGACGTCCAATTTTGACATGTCCATGACCCTAAAGTCCATATTGAGTAAAATCCTTGAGATATCTAACTCACACCCCCGATATATCTGATCAATGCAAACCCTAGCTCCTAGAGGAGAACTCAAATACAATGGCTCCTCTAAAGTCTCAACCTTTAAGCCAAATCATTTACACATGATGCAGTTATGAATGAATGAGATGTACCCCATATCAAAAATACCCTTGCCCATAAGCGAGAGAGTAGAAATGTACCATGTATCATCGATTGATCCACCAACTCAGTTTGGGGTGTGATGACATAGACTTGACCTTGAGTCCCTGAAGTCTCCACTTGTAAGCTTTGTCATTGGCTTTGGCCCAAACCCTAGCCCATTTATCCTGATTGTAGAGTCCCCACACGTGAAGTAATAGGGGCCTGTGTAGCACCCTGGAACTAGAACTGACTTCCTTGGCCCATGGTAGGATAAGGAGGAATGAAAAATGTCTATGATGCCCCACTGATGACTAGGACTAAGATGTCTCGTAACTTTGAGATCTCTGCCTCTAAGACAATCCCGTTTCAATAACCCAGTTGGTGGCATATAAAACAAGTCCTCTGACAAGCCTGATAGGAAGCCCTGAAATTTCTTCCACCTTGAAAGGATTAACCTTAGCTTTGGCTTTGATAGTCTTGGCCCTACCCTTGATACCCTTATGGGGTGGATGTCCTTTACTTCTTCCCAAAACTAGTGGAAAAGGAGGGGAAGAGGGCTGAATCTCTTTCTTCTTATCCTTAGAACCCGCCTCCTGAATTTTTTTAGCATCTTCCACTTCTCTCTCAATAGTCATGACTATCTCGACCATTGAGTCTACTTGTAGGTGGTGGCTTATAATCTTTCTCCGGATGGACAACTTCAAGCCATTCTCGAACCTCCTCACTTTGGCCAAGTCAATGGCCACATAGTAGCTGGAAAAATGGGCTAGTTCGATGAACTTAGCCACGTATTTTATCACCGTCGTAGTACTTTGCTTCAAATCTAAGAATTCCCAAACTTTCACTTGTCGGATAACCGATGAGAAGTACTTACCCATGAAGAGTTC